GCAGGGGAGATATCACGGTAGTGCACTGAAAGGAGGATACCTTGAAGAGGTGCCAGTCGCGTTCGGAGCTGTTCGGGCCGTTGGGCAAAAGACCTTCTGACGGATTGAGCTACCGGGCGGTGGGGTCTGGAGAGGTCAGCAACCTTTCAGCCCGCGCCGTGTGGTTGCCCTCCCTGCAGGGCGCAGCCTGGGCCAGTTCGTGGACCTGATGAAGAAGTGCGACGGCAAGTTGGCCATTCCGGATGTGGTCATCACGGCAGTGGGAACCAAGGTGGGGGGGCTGGGTAATCTGAGTGGCTGACTGACGGACGGACGGACATACCTACGGACGGACGGACAGACGGATGGACTTTCGTGGGGGCCAGCGGCTGGCTCGCAGTGCTTTGAACTCGGCAAAGGACAGGACAGCTTTGCGAGCCAACTCCTTGCGGGTTGCGAGCAGCAATTTGATTGAATGATGGGTGGATGGGCCCATGGGCGCCTGTCGCTGCCATTCGCCCTCCCGTCACCCCGGGGCTCCTCCACGTCCCACGTCCTCCGTTGCAGATCCACCTGCCCATCCGCCCCGCCCCGGCCTGAAAAGGTCCACCCACCCACCCACACCCCGGGACCCCGACGGCCCCCCTCGCCCTGCAGGTGTGGCACCTGGACGAGACGTGCGGTCGCTGCGCCGCCTCGGGTCTCAAGTGGATCGAGGACGTCAACTGGACCCTCAGTCTGGACGCCGGCTGGCACCTGGACACGGTGCGCCGCCTGGCCCGCCAGCTGATGGCGCACTTCAACGATGAGGCCACGCTGTGCGTCCTGGACGACGGCTCGGAGCATCGCCACCGCATCGCGCTGACTGCGGACGTCAGGGTGCTCGAGTACGTCATGGGGCGGCTCATGGAGGGGTTTCAGCGGGAGAAGCTCGAGGTGCGCTCGGGACTGGACGGGGTTCGGGGACTTGCTGCCGCCACGTTGGGGGGATACCTACTGCCAGTGGAAGGGGGGGGTCTTTAGAGAAGGATGGCCCCGTCAAGACCGGTAGGGGTTCCTGGGGGAGAGCTAGGAGTAGCGTGCTTGAAAGCGTTTGTTGCGGGTACGTGGCCGCGGATGTCTTGGTATCCGTGTCTTGGTTCTACCGTGCGTCCTCCGCTTTGCTATTGGCTATCCTGCCCTGCAGCCCGCCGGATTCCAGCCACCGGGATTCCCCCCAGCCCTCTACCGGGTCAGGTACCCTCGTGGCCCATTAGGACAGCTGAGGGGGACGCGGGGCGAAACGGGTTAGTCGATTTCCACGAGCCAGGGGGGCCGGTGCAAAGTTGGGCCCACCGCGTCCCATCCGCTGCAGTCCACTCCCTCGGGCACCACCACCACCACCACCACCACCGGGGTGGGGGAGGGACCTGACTGTCCCGAACTGGACCCCAACGGGCTGCACCACCGCAAAGTGCCACAGAGTGCCACATGGGGAACTCCATTCACCTGACTCTACCCGGCCTGACCCTCCTCCTCGGCCCTTACTAGGTGCGCATCATCACCAGCGGTAACGGCAGCCACCGCTACATCGACTGCGTGCCGGTCTCGGCCGGGAAAGAGAAAGCACTGCAGTACGTGCGAAAGCACTTTGGCGTGCCTGAACACCTGTGTGTGGCTGCGGGCGACAGCGGCAACGACATCCTCATGCTGGAGGGCGACCACCCCGCCATTGTGGTGGGCAATGCGCAGCCGGAGCTGCTGCAGTGGCTGGTGCGACAGCAGCAGAGCGGCAAGGTCATCTACGCGGACGCCTGCTACGCAGACGGCATCCTGGAAGGACTGGCCCGGCACAGCTTGTACTGAGGAGGGCCGGGGGGCTAGCAGGACGGGACGGCACGGGGCTGTGGAAGGATTGGTGGTTGCGAAGGTACGGCGCGTGAAGCGAGGGTGAGGGTCCGAGCCTGGTAGCGGGCATTTGCGTTCTGCAGGTGCGGGTGCGGGATGGTGGGATGGGGGAGCCAACCGGTAAAGCCGGGGCGCATTCGCAGTTCAGGGGGGAGGACGGGGGGACATTCTGAGAGCAATCGGGGCGCATAGGCGGTATGAGCGCCCTCAACCACCTCGCCGGTCAGTGTCCAGTGAGCCGTGTCGGCGATAGCAATATCAATGATACCCAAGCGATGCAGTACAGTAGCAGCGCTCGGAAAGGAGGGGCTCTGGGAGTCTGCGTTTAAACAAATCCAAACCTGCCTGGGTTAGGACAGCTGCGGGTAACAGCACAGCTGCGTGTGCCGCCGTGTCCTGTAGGGTCGTGGCAATCCGCGGACTGCTTGATGTCGCCCCGGTTTACCCGGGCTACCCGGGGTTCGGGGAGGGGGATTGGTGGCGGGGAGAATGAACTTCGAGGAATGTGACTTAGCAACTTTCGTGGCGTGACGTGTTTGACGTGTGTTCCTATGTGTGTTTTGATGGTGGGTGTTGTTCTCTTCTCCGCGTCTGTTTTGAAAATTTGTTGCGAGGTGGGTTTAGCGGTGCAGTTGGGGGTGTTGTTGATCTCGTGTTGATGCGGTCCGTGGAGGAGGTCATCGGCGCGCTTCCTGGGTCACGATCCGGACGTTGCGCTCGCCGTACATACCGCCCGCCACTGCCGCCCACAGCCGCGTGACGCTGCACTTGATTATGAAGATATCAGCATGTGGTGCCGTGGTGTGATTGTTTGGTCTCATTATTTGGGCTGCCGTGCAGCGCAGTCACCGTCTGCGCCCACCTTCGCGCGCGTCACATGCTCGCTCCCATGGCTCTGCTGAAGGCCCCTTGCGGGGTTTCCTGCGTCGGAGGGTCCGCATGGGAGCGACGGTTGCGAGGCAGGAGCCTCACGGGCTCCCCATCCCTTCCAGCCCGAGCCGGTGATGATCGTTGGGGTTGGGTAGCCGGCGAAGACGAGGACGGCTGCTGCTGTGGAGCCTACCCGCATTGTACGGCTATGATTTCAAGAAGGCGGGTCTTGGGGGATAACTGCATTGCCTGGCAGCAGCACCGTGCATTGTTTCACGGATGTATCATGCAGCAGCAGCTGCAGCAGCAGTAGCTCTATTGTGTGCCGCCGCAAGTCCCCATCTAGCGATACGCTGGCAGCGCGTTTGAAATCATGACAGCTTTGCATTTCCCGCAAAATCTGAAGCGTGGAGTACGTGATGTTGTTATTCGAGTTAAGAGTAGTTGTTTGACGCAAGTCGATTCTGGCACACAGCTAGGCTGCGGGACTGCTGCATGCCTTGGCACAGCTGCAGTGGGGGATAAGCAATCCACCCACGTCTAAATTGGTTAACGTCGAAGGCTGACGTAGCGCTGAGCATGATTTCATTTCTGGCCTTGACGGTCCACGTCAGGCCGTACGTTCGGCATGAGCTCGTACTGTACGGTATTAAGGTTGAGCGGTTACACCATGTAGACGTCATGCGCGCGATACAATGAAAAGATCCTTCTTTGTGCGTCCTTGCCTGGATAGTGCTTGCCTCCTTGCCTGCCAAGGTTTTAGCACATCTAGTTCAGGCCATCGACGTTTCAAGGTCGCGCTATTGCTTTTGTCCATCACTGACAAAGAGAGCGCGTCAACTCGCCGAGTATCTCGTGCGAATTTCGTTATTCAGAGTGCTGGCCAGATTGGCTACAACCATGTAACACTGCTATGGGACGAGAGACGGATACCGTACTGCACCGCAAACGGCATGTAGGGGGCTGCAAAAGCTGCCTTCGTGTGCGCGTGTCGTTGCATGCTCCAGCAATTACGAGGCAACCACCTCGTTAACAAGCGAGCTCAGGCAGCGAAGTCCCCCTCTCACATGAAGAGAACTGTCATTGAATAAACAATTTTAACTAGGGCGAACCTGTAAAAAAACAAGTGTTCGAACCGGGAGAGACGTCTCCCTTACCTAACATTAAAGGCCAACCGGTGCAAAGTCCCTCGTATAGCTGCACTGCTTCATTGTCTGCAAGTCGAAGCCTGCTCACGTCCCGCGCACGCACGAGGATCGGATACATGGACTGCGTTTTAGCACTCAGAGAATTGCCGCCGTGACCTTGCACAACACAGACAGGAAGCGACAAAGATACAGCTGTCGCTGTACGACAATCGACCCCAAAACCACAACTGTTAACAAACAAGGCATTTCTTGCAAACTGACACAGACACGAGGCGAGGAGAGCTACGAGCTCGTCAACTCCATCGCACTGCGATTTCATGAGTCGAATCCTGCTCCACTCGCAGGTCCAGCCCATCGTTTCACCGATAGTGGTTCGTCCTTCACTCCGATGGATTGCCAGACAGGCGAGGAAAATACGTAGCTGGGCGGCAGGACGTTCATAACCCAGGTCGCCACTCAAGCACCTCCTAAGACTGCGCAGGCGGCTGCTTTGACGACATCAGGAATTCCGCCGCAGCTTCTCTTCGTGCAGCCAGCTCTGTTAACACCGGCGATGTTGACTTCAGCATCCAACCGTACTTCCACACCGAAGCTATGCGCTTTGCCCCTTTAGTTAGACGGCTCCCTGCGCACCACCAAATGCAAGCTCGCGAGAGAGTACGGCCGGACCTAGCAATGATGCCGTCACGATTGTAAGCTCTCGGTCGACAGTGCGTTGGAAAACTTCCATCCCCAGCCCGAGAGCCACTGGACAAGACCCAATACCCAGCGTACCTTTCCAGTACCTATGACCCCATACGCTCAGCTTGGTAGGGTCATTCTGGGCAGAGCGGAAAACATAACGTTTGAAAGTTCAGTCGGAGGAGGCTCTGAGAGAGTCTGGGATGTATGCACGGTCTCACCGGCTGGGGGACTACCTCCACAACCTTCCAGTACTTCTCCGAAAGCGGATGCCACGTGTCGCGTGTTACAAGGGATCCCACTCCATGATTCGGCAGCTTCCGCAGGACATCCGACACTGAAAATGAAGGGAAGTAGACACGGAATGACCGCCAATGACCGCCAATGATCGTCTTTGCAGTTTGCGGCTCTGGCTATATCCACATCTAACAAGTAGTTATCCTGCGTCACCTACAAGTGCGCTTTGACCCGGACCGAAGCAACTCGAGATAGGCCATGCACATAAATTTTAAACAAACTTTACGCTAAATAATGCAATACCCTGCGCGTATAAAATCATGCCTCCATGTCTGTCTATAGCACGTTTATGCCTTCTTGCTCCTGCAACTGCAAAAGAAGCGACATCCTACATCCCGTTGTACTCCCAATCGCACCAGCCACGCTGTAAGCAACCCACGCAGATCTCACAATAAAAAAACAGATACTTATGTGTTTGGCAACCTCATCAAGCTCCTTGCAAGAGCTCAATGACTTGCTGCTCCTCGGCTTCATCAATGGGCTTCTTACCGTATCCATTCTGCACCTTGGGGTCAGCCCCGCGCGCCAAAAGAAGCTTCACGACATCTAGGCTGTTGCCCCGTGCTGCGTTGTGTAGCGGCGTGTCACCATCCTCATCAGCTTTCGTCAGGATGCTGTTGTTGGCTTTAGCCAGGAGCATTTCGCATATCTCCACATAGCCGCCAGCCGCCGCATCATGGAGGGCTGTTGATTGATCCTGGGGGTTGATGACGTTGGCATCGGCGCCGCCGCCCAATAGGGCTTCGACGCATTCGGCATGACCAAACAGGCATGCCAAGTGCAATGCTGTATCGCCGTCAGGGCCAGGAGTGTTGACATCGCCCGGAAAGCCCTGGAGGAGCTCCTGGACGCGTGCTACTCGGCCTTCCTCGCATGCCGTGAGCAAAGCTCGGAGAGGCCCTCCAGTTGGGTCCTCCCAATCCTCATCATCCGCGTCACCGGTGTCATCACCTCCTCCGAGACGTGCTGCCGCTGTTAGCTGCTCTTGCAGCCAGGCATACTCATCCTGTGACAGATTAGGTCCACTGTCGTCTTGCTCCTCGTCTCGACGCCCGTTCTCCATATTGGCCCTGGTAATCGACTATCGTATTGCTCTCCCTAAAGAGAAGACATTATGCCGTACCGTTATGTTTTGGCTGTCACTAAAGTGCTCGGCCGTTTAGGTAGAGCAACAACGCCTCGTGAGTCAAATTTAGCCAGCAAAAATATTTATGACCTCTTTTGACGCATATAGTTTAGCCGTGATTTTTGTTATGTGGCAGTAGCGCGTGTTGCTATTGGAACTCTTTTGCTGGATAGTGTTCTCCACCGGGTTGCCAAGTCTTTCATGGAGGCCAACAAGACCAAGGTGCTTTGACTATATGGACCTGCCGTCCCCGGAAATGTTATTTGGCTTGAAGGAACGCACTGTGTGCCCTCGCGCTGGTGCTTGTAGGCTCGAAAACCTGCTCGATTATTATGGCAACGCACGGGAACAGGAAGGTCGAAAGAGCTAATGGGTACTGGAGTCTCTCCGTCAGTTGATGGCCGGCCATGTAAGCACCAAATGGAGCTGGAGAACAGATGTTGCACATATACTTGCTCACAGTAAAGCGTTGAAGTCTTGTTATTTTCTTCTCAGCCTCCCAGGTCCAGGGTGTTCGGCAGGGGGCTGTCGCTGGAGACCCAAGTCGACCAGTAGCCTTGCACACGCACACGTACACATACGTCTTCAACAGGCTCACGCATCACACCCACAGGTGCGCGGCCTGTCTGGATGAGCAATGCGCGTGAGCAGCGCGTTTAACTGGGTGTTATGAGCCGTGTTTATTGGGGTCGGCACGAAATTCCGTCACTTCTTTGTCGGCTGCAGGGTGCAGCTGCGGCGGACATTCTGCGAGGGCCTGTACGGTGCCCCACGTGCAATACCCAACTCCGCCTTCTACACCGAACTTGACGTGAGTTGAACCGTCATGTTCAATAACATCATGGTCATCCAGGGGGCATGCCCTAACAGGGTAGATCTCCGACCGACGCCTCTGGTGGTGTGTTCCGCACCATCAGTGCGCCGCCCTCCTGTACTTGTCTCGATTGCTTGGACTTCACCGGGTGATGCTGTTGCGCGGTGCCGTCTTGTCTTTGTTTTTATGTAATGACTCTTACATGACACCAACAGTAAATATCCTTGCAAAGAAACCCGTGAAGCGCCTGGACGACCAGGGGGGCTAAACGTTTGGAATGCAGTGCAGCACCAGCATGGGGAGGCCCGGCAACCCCAGTGAAGCACCCTTGGCCACCGACTTCGACGTTACCCACGCCCTTCCTGCCCCGCGCAGGAGAGGCTGCGCCTGCAAAGCAGCACACTGATGGCAGTCCGCAATAAGCTGGTGGTGGAGTGCTTGGCTGCTGCCAGCAACCAGGAGGACGGCATTGACACGGTCGCCATGCGGCAGGACGTCAATAGCAGGTAATAGTAGGGCGGCTTGTCTAGTGACTTGTACCGGTAGGCGCCGTCCCGGGTCTGGGTAGCCATCAAGTTATGCAATGGGGGTTGTAAGGTGGGGAAGGCCGAACGGAGTGCGGAATGGTCTGTTGGATGAGGGGCCTCGTTGCAGTGCGGCAATTGTGAAGGTGTCAGCAATGTGAATTCGCATGCAGAGCAGTATCTTCAACACCTCGGGGTCCTTGAAGCAATGAGAGAATGTACCGATGTGTGCTGTGCTAATCAGTGCGGGCATGTTCGTCAAGTTCAAGATCTCACTTTTGCTTCCCGATGTTTCTTCCCAATGCGGATCTTCACGGATTTCCTGTCCCTTTTTATTGACATCCACCGGTGGCACCACCCAGCCGCCTGTGCACCAGTCAGTCAGGTATCCAATGTGTGTGTGTGTGTGACACCCGCCCGGGGTTGCGACCCCTGCTCGCAGTCTGTCGCGGCAAATGGAGTTCTTCACGAGCTGCATGGAACGGTACTGCGGGCCGCCTCGCATCTGCAGATGCAATTGTGAAAGCTGTGGCGGCATTTGCCTGGAAGGTGGAGGCGGCAAAGACCTCTCGAAGCCGCTTGCAGGCCCGTCACTGCAGCCGTACGGCTGAGAGTGGCACTGGAGCGCTTTGGGTTTCTGAGGAATTGTGTGACCGGCTTGGGTATGGTAGCTAATGGCCGATTTGCCGTGAAATGCCGAATGTCTATTTGTTCATTAGTCCTGCTGTCCGAGGGCGAGGTACCCAGTTCGTCGGGAAGCAGGGCCGCGGGAGTTTTTACAATTGTAATTTAGTGACATGGTCGGGCCTTGTTTTGTAACCGGAAGTTGGGATACGATGATTGGCACGATGCTTCAGGGTTCAGTTACATAAAACCAAACACCTTGTGGCAGTCGTAGTCGTAGTCATGATGCTGTCGTTCTTCCGGATAATGGCCGCAAAGTGCTGAAGGGTTTCGATGCGCACCAGTCAATGTCATCATACACATATATGGTGTCTTCGGAAGTGCCATGCGATATGGGCGAACAGTTCGTTCCTTCCTGACCTTCAAAGATTGCCGTGCTACGGAGCAAAGCCTTAATGCACAACACAACCTACAGTGGAGGTACTTCTCATCCGTGTTCAACAATGCCAGATGCATAAACGTTATAATCTCCGACTCCTTTTGGACTCCCGCTCGCGCGCATGAATCAATACAACGAGCCAGGCCGCATTAGCCAACTGCAAATCCAAGTACTTCAGGAACATGGCTCGCATCAGATACATGCCATGTGCGCCACCAACATCCTCATCACCCCACGCTCCTGTCCAGTCCCATCACCAAGCTATCTCTTGCGATCCAATGAGCCTGAGGCTTCAAGCTACATGACGAGAGCGCGCGCTCATCGAGTCAGGATACGTATCCTGTTCATTGTTGAATTCATACAATACATCCATACACAATGCTTTAATGCATTCAGTAAAGATATGCCCGTAAATCCGTAATATGCCCGTAAATCCCCCCGGGTGCATCACGCTGGGTATGGAAACCACAACCAAAGGGACGTACGTACGTGCGTAGCTGAACTAAGGTCTGTTTGTGCATCAGCTTGGTAAGCTAAGGCATACCGCTCGCAGGAGGGGCCCCCACACACGCACGTAGTGAAAAAACCTCATCCAGGTGCGCCCACTTCCATTTTTGTGCAGTACGCAGATAATTGTCCCATAATAATGAATATACCAACCCAGTGCTGCTCCGTTGGAAGGTCAGGCAGCCCTAAGACTTTGTGAGGCAACTGGACCTCATAAAGCTCTGCACACTAATAGGAATGTGTCAAGCTAGTACGATGCCCCAACATGTCTAGCTGCTATGGAACCGTGTACTCTCTTCCCCATAATTCTCCTTGTGAAATTGGTATGGCATGTACAGTGCTCGTCTTTACCTAGTTTTGGTGGCACAGGAGCTTGCACAGCGCTCCTCCACCCCACATCCTGAAATCCGCTTTCCAGCCCACCCTGACCTCGCCGTCCGCTCCTGCACCGTGGCTCACAAGCCCCCACCACAGAGCGCTTTATAGATCTCCCCCATGTGCCGCCAGCAGGCCTTGCAACCGGGCCAGCTCGTGGCGGACCGCCCGGCGGCGCTGCTCGTGCAGCCCTTGCAGCAGATCTGCCACATACGGATTCGTGTTCGGGATAGGGCCCAGGGCCTGTAGCCGGCTCTCGAACTGGGACAAGATGTCCTTCAGCCGCAAAATTTCCGCCCGGACCTCCTCTTCCGGACCTGACCAATGAAGTGAGGGAGCGTGAAGGGTGAGAGAGGGAGAGGCGGCGCAATTCGAAGTCCGGGGAAAGCTGCCAGGCGTTTGACTGGCACGCCGTGGGGGCAACTGCAAGCCACAAGATATGGAGCACATATTGGCGGCGTGGTGGCACAGCTGATGGTGGGCCCAACCGATATGCTACGAGGATACCTGCCGCATGCAAGGCCTGACGGCCACCATTGCTGAGCCTTGGAACAACTTGCAGCCCATCCTCCCGAGCTCCGAAACCCCTCCCAGGTGAAGCAGTTGCGGTTCGTAATACATCTTGCACATGTATGATGTAGCACGTCGATGCCCACCCTAACAATGAGCAAGTCCCCTTTCCTCTTCCCCCGCGCCCCATGCCACTCCCCGAGCCCACCTGTCAACGGCACGTCCGGCAGCTCCGCCCCGTCCTGCGGATTGTAGTTGCGGTGGTCCACTGCCAGAAGCCGGGGCGGGTCGGTAATGGTGTCCAGGAAGCTGCACAGCAGCGGGCCAGGCGGGCCAGGCGGCAGGAGGAACGGTTCCGGGGCGGCAAGGGACGGGACGACATTGGGGAGCAAGTGAGTGCCCTCAAGTCCGGCTGACCCAAAGGGACAGGCACATGGTGGGGTGGCTGAAACAGAAACAGACCCTCTGCTTCAGGGCAAGAGTACGAAGCAAGGTGGTAGTAGTAGTAGCAGCAGTAGCAGCAGCAGCAGGAGCAGTAGCTAAGGACATTCCGCAAGGCCGATCCCCCCTCCAATCCCGAACGAGGTCATCCAGGGACCCTCTCCAATCCGCGAGCTCACTCACCCGTAGTACAGCAACAGCTCATCGGAACGCATGTTGCCGTACGTAATGGTCACCTCCTCGCCCTTGGCTAGGTCCTTGCCGGCAACCACCCTGGGTCGCAGCGACACAAGGTGACAGACAGGGCAAGTAGGACGCCATGAAGCAAGCCGGCCGAGGCTACTAAGAACAACAATTGTGCGAGAAAACTTTTTATATGGCATCATCATTTTCATCACGGCATCAGTGCAAGCGCAGAAAGCGTGAGGAGAAAAGTTGGACGTTATTGATACCACATGAGCCACATGAGCTGCGAACATTCAAAGCCGGCCATTCGGTCGAGAGCAGCTTCCCTCCTCCCCCGGGGGAGAGTCTTTCGACAGAAACAACACCCCAGCCCCCGCCGGCGCTGTGACGGCCCTTTCGTCCCACGTGCACCTAGAAGGACGCCGCTCCCTCCCTTCCGCGCTCCACCCACTGACTAGGGCTCCCGCAGCTCATCCAGTCCCCTCACTGACCTGACCCCCCGGTAGGCCCGGCTGCTGTCCAACTGGTTGATGTCGCGGATGTCATGATTCATTAGATCTACGAATATTGGGGGGTATTTGGGGGGCGTAGCCGTAGCGGGGCAGTGAGGGAGAGCGGAATGGCGCGAGGGAAGTGAACTAAGAGAGGAGAAACAGGGATAGGAGAACCTTCTCCACACAGGCGAGGCCTTCACAGCACATGTGAAAATCCCCCTCCTCCTTCCCTCCCTTCCCTCCTCCTCCTCCTCCTGCAGGGGAAACAGCCCCGCGCGGAGAGCTGAGTGCACACCCGGGACATATCCTCCTCCTCCTCCTGTCCCAGTGTACCACAGGAACAAGTCAGCAAACCTGTAAACACATCCCAGGCACACGGCCGCCATTAACCCATTACCCCACCAACACCACATACCAAGCAGGGGAACCATGGACAGCGCATCCCTGCGCAAACTGAACGTCCGGGAGCTCAGCTGCGATGCACGGGGAGTCAGCACATCAGCACATCAGCACACCGGCACCGAACGAGAACGACGAGGAGGGGAAGAGGAGGCGCATCAAGGAAGTTATACCATATATGTTTCATGAGAGTGTGAAATTGGACTGGAGCTGCTGCTCCTGCTGCTGCTGCTGCTGCTGCCGGCGCACGGTAAGCCCTCGGAGGGGAGCCGCCGAAGGAAATAAGAAGAGGGGATTTCGGATAACCTCCGTATTAGCAGTAAGGGCCGCGAATCCTATCCGCGGACCAGATACGGCGTGTCCGCCGGGTTGCACCTTGGTTGTTTGTGTGTGCGAGCGTTACCCACGTTGCAATTTCCTACGCTTTGCGCAAATGACGGACGCTATGAAGTGGGAACCTGAACGTGTGCCAAGGATGCAGGGACGTATGTGGTCCCACTGCAACCCTATATCATTCCCTTTGGCCGCTAGTATCCTTTATCACTTGCTTTGCTGAAGTGCGAGTTAGGATGGTGCTTATAGGCGATCTGGCAGCCCTTGAGCCATATGCTCGTACTGGGCGGTTTGCAGGTGTGTAGGGGGTACACACCCCCACGACCATGTAATGCATACACACACATTGTCTAACGGCCTCCTCCTGGATATACATACATGAGCAAATGCGGTGCAGGTGGTGGTGATGGGGGGGGGGGAGAAACAAGCAATCCGATATATAGCAGGGCGCGATGATGGGACACTACAGGGTGCCCTGCAAACAAAGGGCACTCAACCCAATCAGAGCCCCTCAACCGCGGCTGTGGCTTGTTGGCTCAGCCATGTTGGCGCCACTAGGACCGCTGGTTTACCAACCTCCTGAGGAGGAGCATGGAGGTCATCAGGCTGCCTGCCCCGCGACGAGTATCTCCTTCCACGGCACAGAAACACATACGGATGCACGTGTGGATGTCTGAGGCGACGCACTCTCCGCGACCTAACCAGGAGACAGACCGCCCTCCCCCGGGCCCTGTCGCTCCCCCCGCCCAGCTCAACTCACACCCCCTCCACCCACCATGGACACCACATACTCGAAGTACGGCAAGCTGATGTTGACACTGCCAATGGCCTCCGGGATTGTCGTCATCTGCGTGCAGCCGCAATGCCCCCCCCAACACACACACGCACACACACACACGGCCGGCGGCCACCCACCCACCCCACAACGGGCCGTTGGATTACCGCCACAGCAAGGGGGGGGGAGACCAGGTGCCCATGGTGCCATGCCGGGTCGCACCCAACAACGTAGCCAACCCCGGGAGGTCTGGAGCGATGTCTTGGAGACCTCCGCCGGCGCCTCCCGGGCTTGGCGAGGAGACGCACGTTTCCGTCCGCGGCACCCTGAGGCCCCCCAGGCCCCCCGAGGCGGCAGCTGCGGAGTTTCTTCACAACCTCACACGGACCTGAAAGCCCTTCCCCACTTTTCCTGTCGCCCCGGACCCCCCCAGGCACCTAACCACGATGACCCCCTTAGCCGGTCAGTGTAGGGCTGCGAAGCCAATTAGCCCTGCCACTTATTCTTAGCCCTTAGGCCCGCCTCCACAACCCTCCATGCCCCACGTTGCCCGCCCCCCGCTGGCAAGTCCCCCCCCCCAACCCCCCAAAGCACTCCGCTCACCCACCCACCCACCCACCATGTTTTCATCGTTCTGACCCTCGAAGGTGCTGCGGCAGTGCTTCTTGAAGGAACCTCGTACTTGGAGCTCCTGCGGAGAGGCACCAATCAATCAAACCAATTGGCAACTCATATCTGGAGACCTGGCTGCATGCGGCCGCCTTCCGGGCTGCTGTAACATCCATATCAAAAATTCCCCGTACTGCCTATTTACATCCACTTTGCCAATCTGTCTATCCGTTTGTCTGTCTGTTATCTTCAACCAGGCAGTCAGGTAGCCAGGCATGACGCCGCACCAGGTTGTCGTCCGCAAGGAACTTGATGTACTGTGGGCGGTGTAAGGGGAGGTAGAGGGGAGGGGGACGGGGCGCACGGGGGAGCAAGGGCGAGGGCAAGGGCGATGAAGGGCGGGAGCTCTATACTGGGTGGTATAGAAAACACACAGGAGTCGAGAGTGCACACTCTCCCACCACGTGAGTACGGCAAAACTTCCCCTCCTAGGGCCCCTTCCCCGTTGGGTAAATGCAGGTCTGTCCAGGTGCCCCCCGTTCCTGCTGCTGGTGTTGCACTCACCTCCTCAGGAAAATTATACCCCGTCAGAACCTGAATAAAGCATTAGTAAGGTAAAGGCGAGCGGAGTAGGGGGGGGGGCATAACGCGGATAAGGTTAAAAGGGACAAAGTTTCTGCATGTGGAGGGAAGCTGTTGCCGCCAATAGCGCTCGTAAGTTGGTTTTAGGATGCATGTGGGTGAGCTTGCGGTTCTGGGGGGGATCTCTGCAATGGATGGACTCCTCGCCAGGTCGCTGACGTATCTATGTATGTATGTGTGTGTGCATAATTCATAGTTCCTTTTCTCCATGCTACTGTATTGTAGCTGGACGAGTCCGTTCCAAGCATCCGCATACACTACACCCGGGACCCCGAGTAGTGCCCCGGGGGTTGATCCGTGGTGGGCCGATCCGTGGTGGTGGTGGTGGTGGGGGGGGATAATGATCGGTATCTGAAGTTCACTAGTCGAGAGCTCGAAAGGAATGAGGACTGGGCGGAAGACACCATGTACGCTCAGCTCGTGCATGCCGGACGAGGGTATTAGGAGCGCGCCATCGCCTTCGCCATGGTGTCCGCCCTGGGTGTATTCATTCCTCTTTGAAGTCGCCTCAGGCCTAACGCACCTGGGTTTCACGCGGCAGGACCCGCAGGTATGGAGTAAGCCTCGAGCAAGGGGTGAAGAGCTCCTTTAACAGCAAGGGTGCGCCTTCCTGTACGGTACGTCCCGCGACGACTGATAGAAATTCTAAACTCGTGTGGTGGATGGAGACAACAGCGAGACAAATTCTTTGGTCACTGATACAATTACTATGGAGTTTGTGATCCATTTACTAGGGAGTTCCCAAGTAGAACGTGAGTGATGCATAGCTTCCAGGTCCTCGTTAGTGGTTAAAGGTCAACGGTGGTTGGTTTGCTTACCGCGGCGGGAACATTCCTAACGGAAAATACGAGGTGATCTGGAATGTATATCAATAATTCTCCTTTCCGAACATCTTGCGTCGTGAAGACGCCTCTTACGCCAGCGGAAGTGCGAGAAATCGTGACCTTGAACTCTCCACCTTCTTGACTGATCCAGTCCAGCATTTCTTGCTCATCCTTTGTGATGTATGCATGTGTCCCATGAAATGAGAGTGCTAAGAACAACGCTTGCGCAAGAAATACGCCCCGCAGTGTTAGATGCATTTTATTGCAAGTTAGCCGATCACCACGAAACTTCAGCTTTCTGTAAAAGCCCCAAAACCTTTAAAAATAGTCAACAAAACACTTGTATGTGCCCTCTCTCCCTTTTTGGCATTGCGGTACGACATTGCGGAATGCAAACGCCAAGACATACAATGTGCTGGATGGCAGACGCTATAGTATTTTAGCTGTAGCAACGTTGTTGTCTGCCATGAGCTTTTCACAGGTTATTGCAGCTGTTTACAACAGGGTTGTGCAGCTGCTGTCCACCGCTCCGAAGGGTGCTCTGTCCGTGACTGGTATCCTAGGCCTTGCATTGCTGGTGTACGGGTATCTTCAACTTCGAGGAAACGACAACCGTGCTGAGGACCAACGAAGGGAGCAGCATCGTGCGCGCGTCAGGGCGACTGCTGGTCCAGATGCAGCAGTCGATGCCCCACGGCCAGCGGCGACACCTCCAGCTCCAGTCACACAGGCGCCATCCGCTTGCGCTTCCGCAACTCCCTTGGGTAGGGCGGTTGCAGCCCAGCTTAGTGGCGTCAAACGCGTGACGCTGAGCCTGCCGGGCGTGGTTTTCCTGGAGAGGACCCCTGCGCAGCTCCAAGAGTCGGCGACTGTCTGCCCAAAGGCGCTGGAAGTGCTGCAGGAGATCAGCCGCGTGTCGGACGTTTACCTCATCGCGCACGTGGAGGACGATGTGGGCGAAGCAGTTGTCACCGGCGCACTGGAGGCTGCCGGCGTCCTCGGAAACGGGCCGGGGCAGGTCAAGCAGCACCACGTCCTTTGCTGCTCTTCCCTAGATGGCAAGGTGCCCATAGCGCGGCAACTAGAGCCAGAGCTGCACGTGGATGGTCACCCCGCGTCAGTCGACGAGCTAAAGCGATTTTTGCCTCGCCTTCTGCTAGTTCGCGAGGGTGCACCGGGTGGAGCTGGATCCAGCCAGGTTAATGTGAGTGTGGCAGCGTCTTTGACCGAGTACTTCGGAATGTAGAGCAGATGCGCAGAAGAGGTCGCAGCGGGGAGGATCGGAAAACTGATCTGTGAAACTGGAACTGGTCCAGCTTTAAGATTCTACTTCCGTGCGCCAGCACAAGCCCAGGCATGCAGGTCGTGGGCCACCAGTCGAGCGGTATTTCTTGGTGTACGGTGTACGGGAGGTTGATTCAGGACCCCCCCGGCCCGTAGGCCCCGGAACATGTGTGGCAATGCCACATTTAATTGTTGGCCGAGCCCACATGGTGGCTGGCTGGCTGGCTGGCTATCCTAATGGAGGGCAACACTCGCGGTCTCAATAATAACCCTATATGAGTACATCACATGTAAAACTGCTACTTCCAACCATAATGCCCTTCAACCCACTTGGCATCGTCACTGCCCCATGCCTGTGCATCAATTTAGACGACCCTGCTCGAACGCCTCCTTCCTTGCGACCCAGCTAATGTGTCCCACAATGAGTGGCACATCCATCGACACACGCAGATTTATGTACACCAACAATAGCTGTCTAAGCCTGCGTTTCAGTCACTAATTTTGCGCCTGAGTAGGGCCTTTGCCACCCCAAGGGCGTCGCGTTCCTCTTCCTTTGCTTCGCGGCCATCGTCCAAACACGCTGACGGCTCTGCATCCTGCAAGCACTAGCTCACAATTGAATGGGCCGTTCGGGACCGACCGGCTGCATCACTTGAATCATCATAATAGCCTGCGGTACAACGGGAGCCTGATCCACTACACCTTACTACGGTCGGGTAGGCTCGCTGAATGATATGATATGGGCTCAAGGTGGCCGCATGCAAAGACCTCGCGGTAAGGCGACAAGCACTACAATGTAACATGATGCACCACAATGCCATTTCAAGTCACCGGTCGCCGCCTAATTGTTGCAAATGAAATGGCCATAGTAGGACGCCGCGTCACGCCCTTCCCGTTGAGTGACATCGGTGGTGCTCAAGGGCTTTCGTGCCAGCGCCTCGGGCGGCATGGTCTTAGGTGCATGCCACCCCACCTCCTGCGATGTTGTCAGCGGCGCTCTTAGGGTTTGCTGCGGCTCATAACCCACGCGGGAATGGTGAATCCATTCAACTCGTTGTGTGTCATACGATGTGAAGGTGGTCGGGACGCTGGTCCCCTCGCTGAAAGCCATCAAGCGCTGCACACCCTGCATTCAAATGTGTAACGGGGGACGCCACTTCGCGTCACTTCCCTGGTACGCGGTTGATAACATTTCATGGCGCACCAGGACGAGGACCTCGTGGGCTAGCGTCGACCCGCGATCATATCCTATAAAGTAAATAAATATGAGTAATGTGACTGATGAACCTTGGAAGTGCCCGGTGATCACGCTTTTGGTGGTGGTACCACCTCGCTACCGCAAAGACTCCAATGCGCAACTGCGTGCCGCTACTAGCAACGGGTCGTACCCAATACCCAATAACCACCGCGGCATCCACATGCAACGAGTCACTGCCGTGAGCTTTGGCTAAGTGCGAATGTCGTAAGGGTAGGTAGCTCATGAGCGCAGAAAATTTATGGTGTCAATTACGGTCCGCACAGCGGATGGTGGCCCCCAGCAGTCACACCTTCAAGTACTCCTCAATCCCAAGGACTCCAGCACGATCGAAGTCAAGGTGCGTGAACCAGCAGTCCAGTTCGTATTTCCGCGGTTGCCGGCCAAGAATGTCCTGACATACATAGCAATATGTGCGGGGAAAGTGTAAGGTGGGAAAAGTGTGCTTGGGTTGAGAACTCCGGTGTGAAGTCACGCACCCAACTTCGGAACCCTAGGGTGCACACCGTATAGGCACTGGGGTCGCACTGCAATACAGGTACCCATTAAGCACAAACCCACCACCGCATGCCAACAGTATTTCAGCATAGGTGCGGATGATATCGGCCTGACTCTAACAAAGCCTCAAGTCGCTGGAACAGCGTGATGAGCAGCAAGCCGTCTCGGCTCTTTAACCGATGCGTTCAGATGCTCCCATGAATGCAGTAGCTGCTCTGGTATATAGGCTGAAACCACCGTTTCATCGCTCGTCCAAATTGCAAGTCCCACCTTCAGGATGTCGCCGAGCTTGGCACGGAGGATGTGGGTATCGCCGTTGACCTCCATCACTACTGAGATGTCTGAATCTCCTATTAGGTACTTGTTGAAAGCGTCGACATACTGGTCAATTGGCAAAGTATGGAAGATGTACTCGTGGCTTATCTTGTTTGCGTCCCGAATGGGCTCTTGCGGACCAAGAGAAGTCAACCCAAAGAAAGCCTGCAAACACGTTTCTGCGTGAGCTGCTGACCATTGCTTCTAATCTAATTGCGACACAATGCGCACCATTTAGCACACAGTTCAGGCACAAGAGTGGGTTTCCTTGTCCTACGCTTCTAGTTACAAAATAAACATATACTTGTTACTACAATGCTGTCCTCCCAGTTATTTCTGAACCCTTGCTAACTATATTACTGTACATATAAGTAGCTACGACCACCATGAACGCTAGGGCAAAGACGTCCTGCTTAGGTGTCCCCGGTCTGACCTGTGCAAGTATGTGAACAATTATCCTCGCTCTCGGTGTTGCATGAATGCCAATATTGCCGTACGACTGGTTTCTGAATTCCCCGTAGCAATACAGTAATAGGGGGTAAATACTTTCTTCTTCCTGCTTGATTGTCACAATCATGCCAGGGCTCTTATGAACCTTTTGCCCTTGTTTTACCAACTTATGGATACCGGTGTTACAGGATTCGTTAGTGATAGTGATCGCCTACTCTGATACTCCAGACAGTTGAGTGCTAAACATCAGCAAATACGTACAACTATAATAAATAAACGTGTTAAGATTTTCAGGGTGCGGAGCAAGCAGTAGCTGAGCGAATCCCGAACGGCTCGAGTGCGTGCGTGGAGCCGCTGTGGGGGACCCGCATTCGACGCACCGGTCGCTTGCGGACACCATCATGCTTTCGATTGATTCCTCGTGCACAAGAGGGCTTAACGTCACACAAGTCCGGAGTCCAAATGAGGGGGCGAATCCGAAATGATTACACCGTAGTCCCACAAATGTAACCTTCACCATCACGCTGGCACGCAAGCTGTCGATCGGCAAAAAAAGTCGCCATCCAGCCAATAAGGGTGAATGGTTTGCGGTAATGTTGAAATCTTGCCTTGAGCAGGAAAGTCCATAAGACAGGTAAGACTGGTGGGACACAACTGTCGCACGTATCCTACGATACATGGAGAAGAAAGATGCTCGCACCTCATTCCCACGATATAGCAACATACGTGACCCACCTCGAGCGAACGGATAGCCCGAAACCCAAGATTTCCGTTTTCCGTTTCAATGGAAGATGCCATTGATACCAATCGGTCGGCATGTTTAGCGTTCTACACGGACGCACTGCAACATGTCCGCAGTCCTAATGTACCAGGGAAATACAGGGAATCATTAGAAAGCATCATTTGCCGATCATACTCCGCACATTTTAGGAAGAGTTGCATCTATATTTGCGGACAGAATCACCTTCATTGGCGTGCTTCAGGCGAATTCGAGAATTCGGCCGCTTCGCGAATGTGCCAAGGCCAGTACGGGCAGGCATAGAAATAGTGATCTCAAAATAAGCTGATTCTCAAAGGTGTAGACCTTGCCCTCAATTTTCGTTAGGGTGAGGGAGTAACTCCCATTGAACGTATAGGTCAGTGAGTGGATACAAGTGAAGTGATACAAGTTTACCTAAGCTACTGTGCAATTCCTGTTTTGGATGGAGTAACATCATTCCAAACGAGGATAATCAAAACCATTTCTTGATTCCGATCGAAATTAACTCGACTGAAGGCTTTTGTTTGAAGAATTGCATGGCTGCCAATTGTTTGAATTTCAAACCGAAAAGTCCGATCCACAAATGCATTACGCACGCAGGCTGATACCCTGACGTGCAGTGTTGCGGAAAAGGATATAGCAAGGTTGTGACGTTACAGTGTTATCAAAGGACCTGGGATCACGTGCATAGCAACGAGATAACCCATCTGCATGGAAGTCACGCACCATATCACACATCCCTTTCCCCAAAAATTACACCGTAACGAAAAATTGATCCTAAACAGATCTGTCACAATGTACAGGCAGGACCATCGCGCCTGACCGCCCCCATAGGACCATCAAGCCAGCCCGAAAGCCCCTGATGCCCAGTCAAAGGTCCACCAGTCCCAGCTCAAGCATTGACGCCAAGAATTTAGAAGAACGGAACGGACACGCCGTTCGTGGCGAAGTTGGCGCCCCACGGGTTGGCCAGGTGCTCGCCCAGAGCTGTGGGAAAGGGGAAAACAACGCAATAAGTAACAAAAGATGGCGAAAAAGGGCACGGCAAGGAACCGCTAATTCAAGCACACAGTACAATGACCCCATATTTCCATATTTCCAACCCAGCAACTACATGTACCACTCACCAGCCAGGGGCCCCTTGCCTGTCGATCCGCGAGACGAATTGCATGAAGAGCAGAGTACCCAGAAAACTTGGTTAGTAATCAACAAACTTCGGCAATACCAAATATTTCGTATGCCAGCGCTTACCCGTGGCGGCGTGCTGGGCAATGAAGCCCAGGAAGGCAACCATTGCCAGGCGACCGTTCTTGATCTCCTTGAGCTTCAGCTCACCAGCCTTGGACGAGTCCTTGGCAAAGCTGCAGGCAAACACGCAGTACAAAGATTATGAGCGTGTGCAGTGACCATGTCAAAGGAAGCGACAGCAGAACATACCCAAGGGGGTCGAAAGCACCGCCAGGGTAGATCACACCGCCAGCATCGTTGCGCTGGCCCTCAGCGGCCGCCATGGCCACGAACTCCTACACGTGCGATGATGAAGACAATCATGACGGTGGAGAACACAAGACGAAATCGTACAATGCCGTCAACTTACGAATGCCAGCAGGGTGTTCAGGTCGAACGGCACCTCAATGCCGAACCAGGTGGCCTTGCCGCCAGTCACAGCCTGCACCAATTCACAAGGGGGAATCCATTACGCAAGGAAAGCCAAGCCAAGTAGCAACAAACAAAATTATATGCAACCCAAAATTGATTAGCGCAGCAAAACTTACCCAGAGAGGGGCATCATACCAGTTGCCGTAACCGAGCAGCTCCACAGCCAGAGCGCCAGCGACGCCGAGCATAGCCCAGCGGCCTGGGTAGTTCAAAGAGAGTCCCTTCTAAATTACCAGATCTCTAAAGAATACATTTCTTTTTATCACTTATATCATACTCTATATGGCCTGACAAATCCAAGCTGATGCCAAGGAGCGGATTTCCTGCAAGCCCAATCCCACCGTGGATGACCTCCGACTCGGTGAAGCGCTTCAGCGAGGCAGGGTCCTTGCCCAGAGACAGAGGGTCGAAGCCGTAGTTGCTGCAAAAGGTGCAATAGCGATGAGCGACAGATTTCAGCTTAAAGTTCTTTTGATGCGTCGGCGACGACTGACGATGCTCACCCCGGCAGGTCATCGGGCAGCCAAGCAGGAGCATCCGAGCCTGGCAGCCAGTTGCCGGCCTTCATCACAACGCGGCAGCCATTGCTCACAGCAGCGACGCGGCGGCCCGCGAAGCCGCGAGGAGCGGCAGTCTTGGCCGAAACGGTGCGCATGGAGAGGGCCATTTCTGCTGACTGAATGTGTTGTTTGAAGGTACAACTGTGACCAACTGCACTAAGACAGGAGCGGCAAGAGCACTTAATAAAGGTGGAAAGAACTGCTGTACAGCGTCGTACAGATCCTCGGTCTCGTGTGATCGTGTCTCCTAGGGGCATACGGACTTAGGCACGTTTCGCTATTATTCTCGAGATCTCATGTGATGTAACTCATGTAGGTACATGTCGGTGCCAAAACTCTACGACCGACCGGATTAATTATCAGCAAGGAGACGTGCACTATGAGTCTGGCTTTTAGTTGTGCACATCGTTTTCTGCTAGATAAGTCATATTTATTTATTACGTCTTGGATATTGCGCCATTTAGTGATATCTGGACAGGAAATGCACACAATTGTGCGACCAAAGCAAATCCTTAAAAGGTTTCCCTTCGGCATTTCATTGTGCTATGTAGTGTTGCTTCTCTTACGAGACATTCGATAAGCAGCGACTATTGGCATGCAAGTTCTCCGGATAGTTGGTAGCGTGGGCTTTGCCCACGTCTTCACAAATGTTGTGTAACATTAGATGCATTCACTTGCTAGCATGGCAAAGGGCTGGCAACTTTTTGTCCTTAGAAGGGTAGGAACTAGGCACGGAGCGCAATTCGTAGGGGCCTTACTTCCTCCATCTTTCTGCGTGCCTTGCTTTCGCCGGTCGTGTATAAAAATCTATCAGAGTTAGATGGGGGTGTAGCTCTCTAGACGGTTCTCCAGAGGTTTTTTATGCTGGCATTCGGGGCGCCACCTTCCGACACCCGGCCGAATCTGGACCTTGGCCAACAGTACGATCGGGTAAGAACACTACTGTGACCTCCTTTGTGCGGCTAATTTCTATATGACTGGATATCAGACTACCATGGTTTCCTTCCCGTTAACGTTAACAAATTTGCTAGAGGTCACGCGACGCGACGGCTACACCCCGGCTACCCTCCTTGTCAGCAAAGTAGTGTGTTGGTGGCACACCTGCTTGATTGACTCTAACGGACCAGGTACCCCAGGTATCCACCGCGTTTGCCGCCCCGGAAACTATACATTGTTTTTTTGTTGACAAGCCTTAGTTGACTGGCTGTGTGGTATCTATCGTACAGTACGACCCCTACGCAACCATCATCAACGAGGCGCGAAACTAAGACGCGCTCATCAACAGGCTCGGCGTCCTCCTCCATCTCCAAACGTGGGAAGTACAACACTGACAGGGCGTCTAGCCAGCGAGATACCTCCAATCCACACAAACTGTCCTGAGTCGCAAGCTGGCATTGCAACGCGAACGTTATTAGCGCACACATGTACACACTCTTCACCTTACTAGCTTGCTTTCTTCATGGGTTCAGCTGCGATTGCGGCTGCAGCTGCAGTTGGGCAGCAGTTGGGCAAGCAGTCCAGGAAGGCACACACCGCTGCAGCGGCAGCCTCCTCGAATCCCGCCAAGTTGTGTGGTGCACCCGGCACGACGTGGAGGCAGGCACTGGAGCCGATGGCGGTTTGAAGCGACTCCGCACGTGTCACGATTCGGTCCTGGTGGGGCACACACTCGTCTGCCCCTGACACCAGCAGGAGACATGGCCGGCAGCCCAGGGGGCCCAGGATGCGCTGCAGGCGCCCGCAGGGGGAAGAAAGGACGGACCAGTGTGGCCAGTCCGATAATAAGGTCGACACGATGGCGGTGCTGTGTCTCTCATGATCTGAGCCACAATCACCGCATAAGTGTGTGTAAGAGAGAGAGATGGGGTGGCCGCGAGGGGATGCAAAAAGGAAAACCCAAACCAGACTGGACGGGGGATTCCGAAACACGATCGATACAAATACGGATAAAGTTTAATCGAGTTTGGGTCTGAGAACCCCGGCGCGAACAGTGATGTGCGGCTACACGACCTCCAGGCTGTCATGTATGCGTCGTCAAATCCAATGCCGGGACGGACGTGCCCAATATGTTCAGGCAGCATGTGACTCTAAAACCCCACCTTCAAGTGATACTGGACTTGTCGCCAGACGTCCGCTGCATGAGCACATGGGCCTCATACGCACATCCACCACACAAAAAAATACAGACACACATACACACCTGTACGGCCTCGCTGGGCAGCTCCTCAGAGAACATATCGTCGTCCCCCCCCAGGTCGTACAGCGACAGCAATCTTGAGGCCGAGATGGGCGCACCGTCCGCCACTAGCAGCCGGCCCACCACCTCCTCGCCTCGCCCGGCCGCCGCCAGCTCCCGGGAGAGGCGCACCAGGGGCTCCAGCTCTGGGTACTGGGACAGCCACTCGTGGTCAGATACCTGCCAAGGGACATGGCGGGCCCGGAGAAGTGGCAGTGTTGCCGTCCGACAATGCCGCTGACTGAGCAGCACTTGGGTGGCATTCGGGCGCCCGTGCTGCATGTGACTGAACATCTGAGGGAGCACGGCATGGCGGTGCAGGCTCACCGGGGGGGTTCTCCGTTTATCCGGACCGCGCTAGGCATGAGACAAAACATGGCACAGGGCCCAAGTCAGTCTGTCGGTCAGTCACCTCTCCCCCCCTCTCTCTCTCCCTCCCCCCACTTCCCCCCTCTGCACGCAGACACGCATGCATGCGCGACCCGCTGGAATGCCAGCAGCCAGCGCAGGCATGTCATGGCAGTGGACCAGGTGGTCCGGGTCCCCAGGCCCCCCCAGGGCCCGTCGGTCCCCACCGGAGCCTGCAGGATGGTGGCCAGCAGCTCGGGCGCCTGGTCGGAGTCGCTGTCCTGAAGGTGGGCGGTCGCTATCGCGGCGGCGGCGGAAGGTCCGTACCGCTGCACGTAGCGGACCGTGTCCTGGCAGCCGGTGGAGTGGCCCAGCAGCACCACACCGCTCACATCGTGGTGGCGGCGTAGGTGCTGACACAGCAGGTGCAGGTCCGCGGCATCGCGGTCCAGGCTTCCAGTTCCGTAGCCCTAGGGCAAGGGCGCATGAACAAGGGGGCGGGGTGTCCCAAGGGGGTGGGGTTCCGCCGACCTCTGCACAGCACAATGGGCCCCGGTTATCCACTTCAATGTGCGAACACCACCACAGTCGCTCCGCCACTCTGCTCCTCATCTCCCCGCACTTAGCCCCGTCGGCCCCGTCACATCAGTGTGGAGGCAGATGCGGACCCCTGCATACCTGTTCTTAGCGTTACCGCGGTACTTCATGTCAGCGGCGTTAAATTCGGAGTACCCGCAGTTCAAGGTGTCAGTTGCAGGGCTGGTGCTGGCGCTGGTGTTCATGCCAACAGGGGGCTGTACAGAAGGAAAGCGAGTTGCGCGTTTACCCTGGCCATCGTGTGTGTATGTATGTGTGTCTCCGTGTCTGTGTGTGCATCGATAAAAGCTAGCCAGACTCACATGTCCCTCAGGCCCCAGCGCCACATATATCCCCAGCTCCCCGTGCATCAGAGGCAGCTCGGTCCATCTCCCGGCAGAGGCCGTTCCTGTCCGTCATGTTTGCTGTCCTTTGTTTAGCCTGGATGTTTAACCTCGTTCAGACCGCCCCTGGAGTGCTGGCGGAGCCCGACTGCCCCACAGACCGAGCAATGCACGGTGTTGCGACCTACGCGGCACAGCCCTTCGAATCACTCCTTGCAACTCAGCTGTCATGAACTGGTAGCGTACGGCAGTGCCCGCGCCCGTGCTGGGGAGTTCGACCGCCTACGGATTGACGGTGCTGCGATCTTCGGGTCCGCGTTCGGCCCCTGGCGGTCCCCATCCTGGCCGGCATACTGGTGGTGTGGGTTGGGGGGCGCCGCAGCTTGCTCCCAGACATTTGCTGTCCACTTCAGCTCGCTACCGGGGAGCCCCAGTGTCAGACGGCGGGTGGGGAAGGACTAAGGGACTAACCGCGACGGCTCCAAGCTGAAGCCAAGTATTCGATGCCACAGGAACCGTTTTTATCACTCGTGGAGCAATTTCGGTATGCGCTAAAAGGTGACCCGTTTCCCACATGAATCAGGGAATCAGGGCGCCGCGAACCGGCGATACGAAAGATTTCGACGTTGGCCGTTGGGGTTTACAGCGTATTACTAAAGCCGGTTTCAGCGCCACCCTGATTTTAGTTTAGGGCTGTCAGGGCCAGGTTAGACTGCAGTGCGTGATCAATCGCTAGGTCGTCTTGCCTTTCCGAAAGCATGTATGGTACCATATTGCGGCTCATGGAAATAAGTCCTAAAGCGCACAGACAAATATCAGTACCTTTTTTTCTTACCTGCCAGGAAGACTGGATGGATGCATGCACTGCAAGCCATCCTCGACGAGATAGCTCCTTGGATAATGGCTCAACGTATGGCGCGAACAGGAGTCCGTCGGTGAGCCCACCAACCATGACGACAGCTCTCCCATTTCGAGTTGGGGCATTATGAGAAGCATTTGCCAAGAAGGCGATTTGCGGTCCCGCGCTACCGTACCGGACAAGTGAACCTGAGAGTTTCATCATCCTACAGCTTTTGGATTGCTGGATAAAGCAGCATAAACATCATTTCATCCCATAAACATTCAATCCACAACCAGTTGCACTTAGGGAGCCCTGCATGAACCATAACGGCTTTGCTGTCCCGTATGTAACCGTCCCACATGGCACGAACCGTACGGTCTAGAATCTCAAAAGGCCTTCAATTTCCCACCACATGATTCCCAAAGCGCGCACAGCCTGCTTCAGGTATATCATTCAGAGCGGAATGTTTTTGAAGGCCTGGAGCAAAGCCGGCGACGGAACCCATACGTGTGCCGGCAGGCTTTCCTCCTCGGCAGGCTCCGAGGACAGCCCCTTGAGAGCTCCTATCTGCTTCTTGGCATCCATGGCGGCATGTGACACGTCAGCACGACCATCCCCACCCGCGTCCGTCACCAAGTCTTCCCGTGACGCGCTCGTGCTTGCAGCCGTGGACGCCATAACGGAGACAGCTGCTACTGCTGCTGGTGCTGTTGGTGCTGTTGAGAGAGCCAAGTCGTCCACCCTGCTCCCGATACTGCTACTGACCCCAACGTTTGGCTCTGGACCTCTATCTGCTCCATTTGCTGGCCCTTGTGTTTGCGGAGGAGATATGTCTGAGCGGACGCCGCTGTCCTGGGCTGCGGCTGCAGCTGGAGCCCCGCGGTGCTGCTCCCTTGCCAGGACCTCGTCCGCCTGGCGCTCTGTAGACAACTGCGCGGGCAGCTCCCCCACCTGCTGCTGCTGCTGCTGCTGCTCGAGGGACAGCTGAGGAGAGGCGCCTGGCTGTTGCGGCTGCAGGGCTCCCCAGGGCGCAGATTGCTGCGGCAGCGGTGGAGGTTGCTGGGCTTCCTGAAGCATAGGGGGTTGTTGCGGCTGCGGAGGATGCAAAGCCGACTGCTCATGCGTTGCTGGTTGTGGTTGCGGCTCCTCCAGGGAGTCCATCTGCATCCCCCGTTCCAGTCGTGCATCGTGCGGCTGCAGCGCCGCAGAGGGCGGCACCGCATTGGGAACCCGGGTGGGCGGCACTGCCCCGCGGGGCCCCACGGGGAGGGTCGTGGGCTGTATGACACCGCCTGGGTGCTCGAGCGCACCACTGGGCGACGTACGACCCGCAGGTCCGCCGTACGGAGCCAGTGTGCCCAGACCATCCCGCTGCGCCCCCATCTGCGGCTGTACCTTGAGCGGCTCAAGCGCTGCCAGCTCGAGGGCAGTCCCCCTTCCTGCTCCCCCAGCTGCACCCGGCCGCCCAACCACACTGGGTGGCAGAGACGTAAGGTGAGGCGGGGTCGGGCCCCGGGTGGCCCGGGTGGCCGCCATGCCGCTATCGCTGGAGCTGGGCGGTGCCCCCAGTGCCCCCGGTCCTGGTCCCGGTCCTGGTCCGCCCGGTGTGATGTTCAGCAGCTGGGCTCTCAGCAGGCGGCTGTTGGCGAGCAGCTGGGCGGTGACGTCATCCACATCGTCGGGCGCCATGGCACCTGAGGGGGGGGAGGGTAGGTAGCGGGGCCCCCGGGCGGGGTACGACAGTGGGACCTGGGTGCTCAACGGGCTGTTGGGGTGTTGGGAGACGAACCACCAACAACCGCACAACACCGCACTGCGGCCCCTTTTGAGGTTGGCGATGGCCTGCAGCAGCAGCAACAGTAGATCCTTCTTCCCTCGTAACTCATAAGCCGATCCCCAGGCACCGGGGGCCCGCCATCCCCACTCCCGTACCGTGCATACGGAGCTCGTCAGCTCGCCCCTTAGTCACAGCACGCACTGCACTGCAAGGCAGTGTACTAAGGAATGTGCTGCAGCGCTTCCCTCCTTTCAGCTGCTGCCGGGAACGTACCGGAGGGGGAGGAGGAGGAGACCGCGCGACCTCTTGCTCCGCCGCCCAGCCCCAGCCCTGGCCCTGCCGCCACGTCCGCCAACGTGTCGTTGGTGATCTGCATCTCCTCCGCCAGCTGCTGGGTGCCCTCCGCCAGGACCTGCAGCCCCGGGGCCAGGTGCTGGGCCACCGACTGGGGCACCTCCTGGAGCACCCGCCGGACCGCCTCCTCGTGGCGCTTGCCCTGCAGGGACGTCCGACAATGCGGGCCGTGCCGAGCGAGGGCGGGAGCGACAGCCAACACAACGGTTTGAGAAGGGGTTGGGGAGCGGGGATAAGCGGGGTGGAAGCCGCAGAGGACGCGAGGGGAGGCACGTGAGGAGAGAGAGAGAGAGAGGCGCCGTCAAGAAGCTGATCCCAGCTCGCGGTCTTCGCGGCAAAACCGTACGTATGTGTTTCCTCCCCTCCCCCAAACCCCCGCTACAACCCCACGGCCCCCCGCCCAATATACACCACATGCACCTGTTCCCCGTGTATGAGTACTTAAATGAGCTCCTGGTGGGCATCCCCCCAGGTTGCCTCCTCCGTGTGAATCCGCCGGTGGTACACCCGGACGGATACACCCGGACGGATACACCCGGACGGATACACCCGGACGGCCACGTAGCACTTCACTCAGCCTGCTGGCCGTACCCACCCACCCACCCACCTCCAATCTGTTCAGGGCGCTAGCAGCCAGTGCCTGCCGGGTGAGCCGTACTCGATCCGCTTCGGATTGCTGCAGCAGCTGCTGTGTGATACCCAGCTGCCGCTCGTACGCTGCAAGAGTGCCCACCGCCGCCTCCCCCGACCTGGCCACCTCCGTCACCAGCACCCGCTGCTGCGCGGCTAGCTGACTGAGCCCCTCACCCGCACCCTGAGCGAGCCGCCGCGAGTCCGAGGCGGTGCTACGGACGTCTGGTGGAGAGGCAGCCAGGAGTGTGTGTGTGTGTGTGTTTTGGTCGGGGGAGTTGGGGGACCGAGCGGGGGCGATGTTCGGCGTTGGTACGGGCGCGTCAGCACGAGGGTACTGGGAAACCGGGCCTCCCAGCGCCTTTCCT